CATCTGAGTCCTCTGAGGAAGTTATCCCCTCCAACTCAGAGGCATCAAGCCTCAAAACTTCCTTTACCGGATAAAGAAATCTCTTTCTGAGGGTTACTTTCCTCCCGTCTCTCCCAAGGGTGTTCTTCCCCTCATCTTTCATCCCCGTAGATTGTTCCTCGGGGAGGCTTAATTTCTTTAATATATCCTTTTTCCCTTTTCCTTTCTGAATTTCTAAGCGCTTCCTTCTTTTCTCTGTTTCTGACATGCTAACCCGTAATCCGTCTGCCACTCCCCGAACCACTACGAAAACCAAAAGGAAGAGAACTAATGCTACCAGCACCATAGCGAGAGCCTCTAAAGTTCCTGCCAACTGGGGAGGGAAATAAATTAAATCAAGTCCAAACATATCTCTCAGAGAGCATTACCTTGTTCTACGGTTCTGGAGTCACTCCACGAGTAGAGGACGAGTGGAGGGCCTTCTTAAACAGCGCCGGCGATGGTAAATTCTCCCAGGTTTCTCTGCACCAACTGTGAGGCGCGCGTGTAATCTTCTCGCCAGCAAGAATGCACCACACACACACACCAGAATCCTTCCATAAAAACACATTTATTCCCAAATACAAAATGGTGGAAGAAGATGCCAGGCCCAGGAAAAGCACTGCTTAATATACCCTTGGAGCGGTGCATTCACCTCTGATTGGCTGCTTACTCGTAGCGTGCCAAACGCCGTGGGATGGGCTTTAACTTTGGCAGGCCTTTTCCATGGCACATGCGCAATTCACCTATTCACCAGGAAAAATCCAGGATGTCAGGCAAACGCAGCTTTAGCCAGCGCATGCGCGGCTTCCTACATTATTGATTTCAACCCAGAGTTTTATTATTTCTTGTCATCTACTCCTTTTGGGCATGATTTCTTGATTTTGTTCTAGTACATTCAGGTGTGCTATGAAGTTGTTCATATGAGACCTCTCTAATTTCTTTTTTTTTTTTTTAAACGTAGGGTTTTAGTGCCATGAACTTACCTCTTAGAGCAGCTTTCATTATGTACTATAATGGAAATGAAGACAAAGAATGAGGAGAGGCCATAGTAGAAGGTCTGCTATAGAGCAGGATATGAACCCGGGTATTGAACTTGGGGGAACAGAAGGAGAGACAAAGGTCTGCCATCAGCCTACTTGCTTCCTTTGTCAGAGTGGCATATGTTTTCCAGGGAGTACCTGCTGGAGTTGGGAACTGGGATAAAGCACTAAGTCTGGAATATTGTTTAAGGGTGATGGAGATCTTCGTGGTCCACTGGAGATGGATGCGGAGGAAGAGGAAGCTGCAGTAAGTATTCTGTTGAGGAACTGGGGATGAGACTGGAGGGCTGAATATGAAGAGGAAAGAGTGATAAAGGTTTGCTATTAGACTACCATTTTCTCTGAGCAATTTGTTAAAATTAGAACAAAAGTGAAACATATAGCATGACATTCATACTTGTTAATACAACAGATAGGGGATTAAATAAATATAATTATCTTCAAGAAATTTTTATCAAATATAAGTATCCAGTGGGTTAGTAAACTTGAAATGATTCTGATCACTTGAGCTGTAATAACAATTGAAAAAAGATAACTTGGTATAAAGTTGACCAGGAAGGTGTTTCAAGAAAAGTAAGTCTACCCTATAAGTTGGGGTGAGGTAGAATGTAATGTTTGGAGGTGATTCTTTGTGAAAATAAAAGAACATTAATAAGTGTTAGCCACTATATTAGCAAAATTTCAAATAATCCAAGAGAAATCACATGAGGGACAGGTAACCACCTATTCAGAAAGTAAGTGTATACAATGAGAGTGAGCTCAAGAGGTTATTGATGAAGATTCTGCCAGAACCTCTCTGAAGGATTTATATCTTCACAATTCAAATAGTTTATATATTACTAAATCTTTTGGCCACATTTTTTTTTGGGTAAGAGTGAATATCTCAGACTTCTGTAGGTGGACTTCATGGACATCAGAACATCTAGGTTGAAGAATGACATAGTTACTTGATAGGAACATTATGTTACAGAATATGCTTCAGATTCAACCAAGACCTTTTCCTTGATGTCCATGCTCACAGCAAACTCATCTCTGATGGAATTTTACATGCTGCCAAGTCAAAGAGTTGGCAATATTATAAATTATTTTATGCATTTTAGGAAACACTGAGTTTATAACTGTAAACTTTTTATACTCATTTATACTTGCTAAAGAATGAGAAATCTTTCATATCCATGTATTTGAATGCTTATCTCAGTGAAATTTGAGTACTGAAAACAAAACAAAATAAATGGCTTCAAATGGTGTTCATACATGAACATACAATCAAAATTCCTGGAGATAAAATTATTAGGCTAAGAAGCAACTGTGCTTATGACACTGGGTGAAAAAGTAAAGTTCTATGCATGTTATGATTCAGTGTAATAATTTGTGTACTTGAGCACAAAATATCCAGAAGCAAATGGATTGAAATGTTAATGGATCTTTCCCCCCCATTAGGACAATGAATAAGATTTTTTTTTTATAATTTTATCATTTTTATATCATCTATATTTCTTATCATGGTCATGTGCATAATTAGACAAATCCCAATATTAATATTACAAATAAAATTATATTACAGATCTTGTGTTATAAAGAATGGCTGTTTTTACTGTTATACAGAATAACTTTGAAAATTTCAAAAGGATGTGCCTATTACATGTTGTTCATCAAAATGAAGTATTTTATTTTATATATTTCCAAAAGTAAGATTTAGAAATGTATAGCATATACTGAAATGGTTCAGTAGGTAAAGTTGCTTGCCCCCAAGTCTGATTGATGACTTATGTTGAATCCTGAGAACAGAGAGAACTGACTTCTACAAGTTATCCTCTGACATTCCCATGTGTGCTGTGTGTGCACCACAATAAATAAGTGTACTAAAAAGTTACAGCTATCTATATTAAGTTATACTTAAACCAAGCTTAAAAATATCTTCTCATGGAGCTGGAGAAATGGCTCAGTGGTTAAGAGCACTGGCTGCTTTTCCAGAGATCCTGCACAATTCCCAACAACCACATGGTGGCTTACAACCATCTGTAATGGGATCCAATGCCTTCTTCTGGTGTGTATAGCAATAGTGTACTCATATACATCAAATAAATAAATAAATCTTTAAAAAATATCTTCATGTTTACTCATGGTTTAGTTAAAAATAAATCAGTACATGCTTTAAGTAATGAAGATTAAATACATTATGATAAATTTTTTACTTCAAGATAAATATAACTTTGCTAGACTTTAATCAGACAACAGCATATATATATAAATATATATATATATATATATATATATATATATATATATGTAAAATTTTAGAAACAACCTATTCCCATCTTAATAGTTTAGTTTGGCTCTGAAAATTCAGCACAATATAGATTTCTTCCTTACACAATAAAGTCACAGACTATCAGAGCTAGATATGACCACTTATTAAGAGTTTTGATAAGAGTCACTTATTCACACCACCACCACCTTCATTTTATTGTCGAGGCAACTACTCACAAGGACAGGTAATTGGTGCAAAGTTATGTACCTAACTAGTGATAGATTCCTTACTGGGACATAGTTTGAGGTTGAAAAGCCTCACTATACCAGACACTTGTCCTGGAATTCTCAGGGTTTTTTCAACTATTCATTCTATTACACTCTTTTCACTGCATGATAAGTGGTGCTTTATAATTTCTACAGTAGGACAATTGCTGATATTTTCAAATTAAACAATCTGACAGTGGTATGCTGACAGTGAATGCTTGAGTGGTAAAGTTCTCTTTTGGAGGCTGAAGTCTGCAGATGTGAGTACAGCTGTTTGACATTTACTATGTGCTTATGTTTTATTAATGAGCATTTAAGATTACTGTGTAAGTATACTTTATCACTGTTTATACTTAACCAACAAAGTTGCAGTTTTAATTTGATGTAATAATGGCTTTAATGTATTTTTTGTTTTTTGCATTTTTGTTATACTTTACCTGAAAGAATGACCAATAGTTTTGTCATGTTTGTGTACTATATTTGTGCATATAATTTTATGACTCCTTTTTGTTATTTTAATAGATACCTTTCTTTCATTATGGAATCTTATGAGAATTGCTTTCTGCTCTATAATCTGTCATTTGTTGTAGATTAAAGCTTATTTTTCTATGAATAAGACTTATTCAATAAAGCACTATTCTTTAAAATGTTAAAAAAACAAAAAAACTCATACTTTATGATAAATCTGCTTAATGAAGACTATACATTTCTTAGATATGAAGTAAAACTGATCCAACTAGGAAGACACAGTTACCTGGGACAGAACCACAGCTTCACGAGTAGCTTGGCTTTGTGACTGCAGTAATACATCCTGCAGGTAAGCTGCTCTGTGGGCACTGTTTTTGGCACACTGCTTTGAATTCTTAAGACACTGGCTGAACTTCACAAAAAGTTTTAAAAGTTGATGATTCCTGTCTAGTAAAGCTTAGCACAAAATGTGTAGTATCATGGACAATGGTGTCAAGTCACTAGTAGCTATACAGGTGGCGTGCTTCCCTGTCCCTTGGAAACTCTTTACCTCCCATCTCCTTTTGGCTTGTCTATAGATTTAATACCTTCTAAGTAACTTCATGTGGAAATCAAAAGTAGCAGAATTAAGAGGGGACTGGAGACATTACATTTCTGCCAGTACAATTCCCCCCCCAAATCAATGCAGTCACTCAATTTCTGACATTGTTCTTAAAGTAGTTATTATCCAGTCAACACAAAAGTGGTTAACAGTGGCTTTGCTTCAATTTGTTCTAAAGTGGAAAAAAATAAAAAGCTTTTGTTTGCACTTTAGAAAACACATACAGTCCGCTGAGTCCTTTTTCTGCTTCAACCCTGAAAGGACTGGAGGTTGAACGTTCCTTTGATAGTGAGTAAGCTATCTAGCCAAATGCTGCTCTGGCTTCTACTGTCACCAGCAGGCTTTGAACCCTCTCACTCCACTTCAAAACAAGACGCAGATTTCTTGGCAGAGGAGCTCATGTTATCTGAAGGGTGATAGGAAAGAGTGCTCATTTTTGTTGACAAGCCTGCGTGTGACTTGGCCTTTGGGGGAATATATTTCAGAAGCTGGAGGAAATATCTTTTAAATTTTTTCCCCAGAAAGCCATAAAACAGAGGGTTCAGGCAATTGTTAAAATAAGCTATGCAGATGGTTATGGGCATAGCACTGTCCACGATGTCGGCAATTTCACAGTCACGGATGACACCCAGTTGAATGAGCACATCCAGAAAAGTGAATACTTGGTGGGGAACCCAGGAAAAGAAAAAGAAAAGCACAATTGCCATAATTATCCTAAAAATGTCATCATTTCTTGGCGTGTTCTTCTGAATTTTATAAGCCTTCTTTAGTGCTTTCCAAATAAGAGTATAACTGGTCAGAATGATCAAGAAAGGGAACACGAAGCCCAGAATGTTCTTCGTTAGACCCTGTCCAATGGGGAGTGTTGAGTTCTGAGACTCATAATGAAAAGCGCAAACTGTGATATTAGTGTTCTCGATGAAATATACATTTCTGTGGATGATGGCTGGCAAACTGGCCAAGCCAGCCATCAGCCAGATGATGATGCAGATGACTTTGGCCACCAGCATCGTGCGGCGGAGACGAGACTTTATAGGGTGGACTATGGCCAGGTAGCGATCGACGCTGAGACACGTGAGCAGAAACACACTGGCATAGAGGTTGAAACTGATGCTGGCTGAAGCAATCTTACATAGGTGACTGCCGAAGGGCCACTGGTATTCCATAGCGGTATAGACTGCCCACAGTGGCAAAGTCAACAAAAAAGATAAATCAGCCAGGGCGAGATTCAGAAGGAAAACACTGGCCACAGTCTTTAGCTTCATGTAAAAGTAAATGACAATTACCACCAAGCTGTTTCCAAATATTCCCACCACGAAGATGATGCTGTAGAGAGTAGGGATCATGACAAATATGTAATTGTGCCTGCCAGCCTTGGGGCACTCATCTTGGATTCTTTTAATTCCATCTTCAGTAGAGGAGTCAGGGATCATGTCGCTTTTTGTGGGGTGAATTGGTCTCTGATACTATGCAAAATGCACCCTGGAAGAAACAGAGGTTTTTTTTTAATTTGTAATTTTCTGTTGCAAATAAGCAATTTTAATTCTCAATAACAACTGTAATAATTCAACTTTAGTCTTTGGGGGAAAAGTCATAAATCTGTGTGTGTTGTCAAATACTAGCTTCCAAGTTGATTGATAACAATATCATCTGTAAGTCTTGAAAAATACTACAAAAGTAAATTAGCTAGCCTTAATGACCTGAAAGCTGTTCTTGGAATAAGCAGAGCTAATGAACAGATCTTTAACCTTATCATAATTTATTTTCAATCAATTTATTTCATCTCTCAGTCTTTGATTCGGTATAGAGGTCATTAGCATTCTCCCTTAAGCAGTCACTGTGGGAATAGATTTAAGAAGTGTAGTAAAGAGGCCCAGTGCTTTGGAGAATAACATTCCTTCCATGGTTTTCAGGCTGCATCAGGATGAAACTGTTTATTTTTTTTAAATTCCCAACTCAGTTCTGGACTTTCATTCCTATTGGCCCTTTCTGGACTTAATGCTGAGATTAACTATTTAATTAATAAACAAACCTGTCAAACAAACAGATTAGGCTAGGATTATTTACAAGACCTGTCTTTCATTATCCCTGGGCAACAGGAGCAATTGTTTATGGCATGCAGATGTCCAGATGTTTGGGAAAGAGTTCCACAGAGACTTTTATGGGTATTTCTTCAACATTTCATACGATCAACACTTAAGCTGTTCAGCTGTATGATTCTGAAAATCAACAAATTCTCTATTATATCAACCCATCAGGAAGTTCTGGGGGGGAATGCTGAGATGCTGCAAGAGAAGCATGGCAGAGTGTGGAACTGGAGTGCTCTAAGATAAGGCTATCCTGGAAGGCTACACAGATCCTGCTGTGATGTCATAATTGAATTTCTATGTGTATGGGGCTGTGCATTCTACTATGAAAGCGTGCCCTGCAGAAGAAAAGGAACAGAACTATGATTCTATTGTTCTTCCTAGAATCCCTGTGTTTGCTATCTCTTATCTATCAAAGTCGATTGCAGAAGACTTCAGGCACTGCATTTGAGGTATTCATACCTGAAAACAGAAGGGATCTCTTTACGTTTCCTGAGTAATTTAATCTATTGTCCTTCTTTAAGTGCCTAATTCCATCCTCTTCTTTTCCTTTATATAATATATACATATAATTTAAAGCCCTTCCTCCCTTCATTAGCAACCACACATAGGTATTATCTACTCCATGTGTCATATTTTCTGTGAAGTCTTCCCAACTTTCCCAAGGAGTGTTGGAACTTCAGACATGTGTTTTGACACTTTAAGCATCTTGACATATCCTCCCCATTTGACTGATGAAGATCCAATGATTAAGAGTGGGCAATGCCTGAGTGAATGGCAAGTGGCCTGGATGTTCTGAGTATACAAACATGAGACTACTTTCTATAGGATCCATAAGTCCCAATTTATATTCTTACTTGCTCACAGAATCTCATGGAAAACATTCAGTGTTACCTTGGCAATATTGACAAGAAATTGAAAACAACAGAGGAAAAAAAAACATAGAAATGTGTGGTTTACAAAACAGTACAAGTTACAAGTAACTTGACAGAATTCATGGCTTTGAGGGAGATAGGCTTAGTTCTTTGTCAGTCAGAAGAACTTCCCTTTAATGGCCTTGTTTATATTTTTTGTTGGTTTCATTATAGTTATGGGACTTACACCAATCTAACAGTATAATTTCCTTAGATAAACATTCTTTATATGTTGATTTTTCCATAAAACTTTTCTTGGTTACTACTCATTCATACAGATTAATTTGCCTGTTTGCTAATACTCTCATATGTCGTTAGTTGTAAGTGGTTAGATTTTCCTCAGGAAAATATTTGGAAATGTCAAGGTTAAAGAATGTTTAAAAAATGAAACAAGCCCAAGTGAACTCTATACTGAGAGTAGGAATATTTGGCTTGGCTTGAGAATAAGGATACCAAAAATAGAAAGAAATTTACTTCAAGTATGACAATCTCTAGGGAGCCCTGAGTTGCTATAGTGAGGAAGAAATTCTCCTCATCTTTGTCTTTCCCTCCTGACATCACACTAATCAGTTTGTTGCATTAATTTTGTTTGGAGTGAATAAAATTGTACTGACTAATCCGAAACCACTACCAGCTTAGAACAAAGATCATCTGCATTTAAAAGGACAGATTTATAAGCATGGATTTGAAATCCAATTTACAACCAAGGTCTGCTTCTTCTGCACTTCAATTGATTTACACTGGCTGCTAGTTAATATGTAAAAGATTATTCTGAACAGCTAGAGGAGTCTGCTGGCTGACTTGTTGTTGTTGTTAGTTCTACACAAGCTAGTATTATCTGAAAAAATTACAACTGAGAAAATGTCTATAAGATTGCCCTGTAGTCAAGCCTGTGTGGCATTTTCTTAGTGATTGATATGGTCCTGTGTGGGTGGTACCATCCCGGAGGAGGTGGCCATGGGTTCTATAAGAAAGCAGGTTGAGCAAGCTATGGGGAGAAAGTCATTAAGCAGAATCCTCCAATGCCTCTACATCAGTTGGTGCCTCCAGGTCCCTGTCTGACTTCCCTTGGATGGTGGACTACAAGCTGTAAGACCAAAGAAATGCTTTCTTTGCCAAGTTGCTTTGGATGTGATGTTTGATCTCAGCAATAGAAACTCTAAGACAGTGGTCATACTTGGGAAATTTTAATGAGGTCTTGATTAATTAAGTAATGACTGTATTACTTGAGAGACTCTAGACACAGCACTGAAAATGCTTACATATCCATAAACATTTGAATAATGACCAAGATTTATCACCTAACGAGGAAAATATTTCTCATATTCAATACTTGAAAGAAGGGAACAAGAATCTTGGGGAGTCAAGAAAAAAGGAACATAAATGTGGACAGATATATTCTGTAGACACTTAACATCGATCACAGTCCCCAGTACCTGGTATGCTGCTATGTTCAATTTTCAAGTATGAAAATTAGTAAGGCAGAGTTTTCTTTCCTTTTAGTGTTCCTTCCTAAGAGGAAGACAGGAGCTTTAGAGATCCAAATATCTTTACTGTGTTTTAGGGCCTGTGAGATGCTCTCTGTTTATAGTTGACCCAGCTTGGTGAGAAGTGTAGAACATGAAAATGGCAGAGGAACTTAAGGAAAGCATTTGTATTTTGGAAGGTATGGGGTTGAGGGTAGGAGTGAAGGGAAAAGAACAGTAATAACTTGAAGGCAGCGAGCTGGCCAGCCAAGAGGTAGTAGAGATGAAGTTATAGCTTGGACGTTCCCCTCTTTAGGATGCCTATAACATATTTATGGAAATTGGCTCTTATGAATCTACAGATGCTGAATAACCTCTTCGAAGTGTTGATCCAAATGTGCACTGGGACATTCTGAATGGGAGAGTGCCATGACATTCTCCATCCTGCATTAACACTCCTTTGATAAGTTTTTCTGGAGAAACATGGACCTTAGAGAAGAATGGAACTGTTGGCTCCAAAGGAAACTCTATATCCCCAAATTCCAAAAGGGAGAAAGGACAAATTACTATCTGTGGTACCTATTAGCATGGCCAAGTGCATGCTGGCTTCCAGGATTCTTCATTATCAGAAGTGCTTGCTACACATTCCAAACTCCTTTCCATCTCCTCCTGTACCCTAAGCTCACAGGTCTCCCTCCCCTCAGCTACTCATAACCTTTACTATCTTGTTATTTTTGATATGTCCTGTCTCCCTCCTTCTTGTTCTTTTTTGTCTGCCCCATTTTTTCTTGTTTTCTTAACCCCAATCTATTGTCTCTTCTTATTTCTCTGCCTTGTCCCCTCTGAGCCTGCTTCTTTCATGGTGAGATCCTGTCTGCTGGCCATGTTCAGTCTACTTTCCTTTTTCTTTCCCTGTTCTAGACACTTCCAGATGCCTCTGGCTGTTGTCTCTCTTATATCTACAATAAAACCTTCCCCTAACCATGTCATAGAATGATCATGTCATCGGTTTATACAGGAACTGCTATAACTGTTACCTGCCTTCATTGAGGGGGAAGGAGCAAAGATCATGGAGCTCTTCTTTCTTTGAAGCTACAAGGAGTCTGGGGAAGAAATTGTGATACATTAGGAAAACAAAAATTGTAAGACACAGAAATCAGATACCTTTCTGTTTGTGCCCAGTGAACTGGATCCTGAACAGAAAGAATGCTGACAAAAGTAAGAATCAAATGGGTACTGAGGGACAGTCAGGTGGAGGTAAGACCGTTTCTTGTTCTGTTACACAGTATGCTGACAAGAAGATGAAAGAAGAGGATCTGAATGTTTTTATCAGAGAGAGAAGAGAATAATAAATAGTTGAGGAGATAGATACATTTGACCCTTTTTGTCACACATTGAGTAAACATATTAAAATATCATGGCAGTGCATAAATATGTATATTTTATGGATTTATGAGACAGTTAAAATTTTCAATAAGGATTAAAGAGCCAAAGGGGAAAACTGTCTAATTTTAGGCCTTTTTAAATTGTCCTTTACTCAGGCTCCATGATATGTATGAATTTTATGCACCATTTTCCTATGGTCAGGGCAAGAAGGATTTGGAGTAGAAATACTTCTAATGGATCACTCTGTCACTTCCAGAACAGTGTGTTTCTCTGATGTTAGCCTCAGTCTCATCATCCATAAGATGGGAATTGATTCTCTTTGAATATAAAACATATAATGAAATACAATTATGTGAAAGTACTGGGCATTAATTTTAATAGTGTCCAATAAGTTGAAATTGGACTTTCCTTTTTAAGGCAAGGCAAGCATTGACTCACAACACCTATCAGTAAGGAAAGTATGAGAGAATACAAACAGGTTTATCAGTGGTAAATTTCTCATGTTTCCATTAAAAGGCTTAAAACTTCAAGCTGTTTTTCAAGGAGTATGGGTAAAAAGAAATGGGAAGCAGCTGAACAAATTTGCCATTATGCAGGTGGGGCCTTGCATCTGCTTACTTTTGTGGGCA